CATTTTTAAACAGCAGTTTCCATTTACCAAAATCTAGGTATTGAAAGTTATAATCATGTTTTCAACAGAACCCAAATACTGTTTTAAACCTTTCTCTGCAAAATAATTAATTTCATAGAATAGCTGCATCCTGAGGATAAGACTCCTGCTAAACAAACCAGGCGAGAGCATACGTGGGCGAGTGCATACATACGTGATGAAGTGCCAAATTTGTACTTGTAACGCAGCAGGGATTTCCCCCGTCTTAGGGGCTCCTACACTTCAAAGACAATTCACACAACAGCAGAACATGAGCTCCAAATGGAATCGCTGTTCCCAAATCACTCCAGACCTGGGCACCTCCACTCCGAACCATGGCGTACACAGACCAGTCCTTACTGTCTAATGCCAGTACCAACCAGCAGAACAGAGAGGCTCCTAACTTGACCCTTTGGAAGTCCTTTAAGGGCAAGCAGCCCCTGCCTGCATCAATTGCTTGGACAAGGTCCTAGACCCATCTCTGCACCTGCAGTGCCTGCTGCCATCCAACAACCCCAGGGGCTCAGCTCCACACTCTTCCCAGGTCCCACCATTCTCCAGATGTATCCACAGGCAACCACACAAACACATAAATAGCAAAACCGTGAATCACCATGGTGATACTTCATTTGAGCACTTTTTACATACATGGTCTCTGCAGGGGCCAGCTGGCCTGACCCTCCTTCCCTTCATTACCCCTTGAAGGTTTGCTGGGCCACAAAGCCCCTAATCCTCAATCTGCTTGTGTGGAAGCTTTCACACCACACAGTTTTTCCAAGCATGAGGCTTTCATGTTTACACAGTGATTGGCATCCATCCTCCCCACCTGCTTCAGGAAGGGCAGCACCACCATGCAGCCCCAGCATCCCAATAGCACAGGGAGAGGGAGAGCACAGGTCAAAGAATCAGGGCATAAGACAGAAAGTAGAAAAAGTAATTGTTAAAAGAATTAATTGCCTATTTGCCTTACCTCTACAGAAGAAAAAAAACCTCAGACTGAAGAACAGTTTCCTGGAAAGTACTCCCACAGATTTATTTCTGAAGTCCAGACAAAACTCAGATTACCTAAACGCATCTATAACTGGTACTTCACACAAATACCTCTGCATTAGTGGCATATGCCACAGCAGCACCTTCTGCTTCTCAGCATCTGTTGCCACACTTTGTCTCATCTTAAAGATTCTATCTGTAATTCAAAGCAGTTGTGAGAATGCATACTCTAAGCCTATGCCCTGAAACCAGGCTGCAGGACAGACAGGGAAACTTCGAGTCACCAAAGCAGAGATGGACAGACAGCACCAGGACCAGCCCGCATCTTCAGCATTAAAGAAAAGCAACTGGGCACATCCTACCAAGGGTGATAGGACATCTACATGGCATTAAGGGTCTGGGCCTCTGGGACAGTAGCAAAGATTTTAATGTTGGAGCTCTGAGAAAATCTACTTCAGAATTAAAGCTGTTAATGCTGAACATCACATACAGCGCAGCTGCTGGTACCACACATACAGAGAAACAGCACCCAAATTAACTTCTCTTGGGAACCACCACCAGGGTATGCCCAGTTAAATATGGCTCCCACCTCCACACCCGCATCACCCTCCCACAGCACAGAGGTGGGAGATCAGAGCAGGAGCCACTGTCCTGAGTCACACCCCAAAGGCTCCTGGTAGACATCAGTATGACCCCTACAACACTACGGTGTGACTGCAAGTTATCACAAGCCAGAAAGCTACTAGCTAGATTTGCTCTACATTTCAAAAAGGAATGAACCTGGAAAGTCCATCTCTAACAACAAAATGTAAGGAGCAGGGACAGCACCCATTTAAAATAAAGATGCACATCCCCTTTACAGTCCTTCCCTATTTGTTCTAGGGCAGACTTTACATCTGCAAGCAGTAGGAGTAACGCCAAGAGAGTTTGTTTATTGGATTGCCCTTGCTTGTTAAAAAGAGGTTTCATACGTGAGGATCCAGCGTTAGCGATCTGAGCTAGCAATGCCAGCAGGCAAGTCCACACTGTTGTCCCTCTTTGTACACTGACAATTAGCAACTCTTCAGCACGTTTTGCCTTAGAGCTACCCCTAAAGACCAGAGATGAAATGGGATTTCTCCAATCCCCCAAAAATTATTGCCCAGGCAACACTGCAATGCTTTGGACTGAAAAGCCAAAATTCCCGTTAGCTTTGGTGGGAGCCAGCAGAACTGGCTCCTCGACCGCGAGTCTGAAACCAGGTCCCGCACCCAGCACGGCTACGGCACCGCGGAGAGGTGAGCGCAGGAGCAGCCTTCGCAAACCACCTCGAAGGGAATGGGCAGCAAAGAGTTTTCATCTTGACCTCAGCTTACATGGAAGAATAATCCATTACCTCAGCTGAATGCCTCTACTGCGTCCCCTGGACAGGGGATGTCTGACAGCTGGGTGCTTTTAAGCTACAAAATCCTGTTCCAATCTGGCAATACATTGACAGCATAATCCAGGTTTTGCACTGGAAATCAGATCTGCCATCAATTCCAGACTTATACAGTCATATTTCTTGTAAAACAATATCAACACTTTTGATTGGCAAAATATTAAAACAAAACACTTCTAACTGGCTGAATAAAGGTTATTTTTTTTTTAGCTCATTCTAGATGACTGGGGAAGAGCCAAGGAGAGAAGCAACAGATGGTAACAGTATACTTCATAATTTCCAGCATTTTTATTTCTTTTAAAGGGCATGCCATGTATTCTTATTGCACTTTTCTTTGCCACTAAAGGAAACTGCTGCTTCCAAAAATTTTCACCCAGAAACCTGATTCAATTTTATAGGGATTTGTAAAAGCAGAGACAGATTCCAACTTTGTCTGTGGCTTAGATTTTTGGGTGACATCATCTGTTAAAATATGGGAAAATCTGAGCTGGAAGGGCAGCGTTCAGTGGCAGTTCAGTTCATGTCGCCTTTGACATTGCTATTTCTTTCTTTTTCTGGAAACCCTCTCTGCAAGGTGCCTTCCCCCTTTCTTTGGAGCCACCTGATGGATCTGCTTCCGAAGATTACAAAGAAGATTCACCTCTCTCCATGCAGAGAAGCCAACTAAAATGAAACTGAAACAACCCAGGCTGAAATAAAACCAAAGAGAACTTGGAAAGATTAAAAAAGAGCTATAAAGAGCATTAGTCAATGCCATCAGCAGTCCCAACCCAACTCCTCCCTCATCCAAATCATTTGATGTCCTATTAGGAGGCTCATTAGGACAACTCAAAGCCTTTCACCACAAGAGTCATTACCCTGAGCAGCACACGGGCCCTACAAAACCTCTCCAGCCACCCACAGCAGCATTAGCTCCAGCCAGCCCTCCGCTTCCTCCAGCTGCAGCCCACAGCTGGACCCAAAAGTTTCAGAAAAGTTACCAGGTAACTTTAAAAAGGAGCGAGGTCTTCTGCTGAAGCTGTCTGAAGGGTATACACCGACAGGCAAAGCACCTAAGGATGCTCCGAAACCGTTAAAACATTAGCATAGACAAAAGAAAAAGGGAAACTGTCATCTTTCCTTTGGAAGAGTTGAGACTGGTAATAATTCAGTTTTCAACTAATACAAAGTAACAGAGGAGCCGGAGGAGCTGGCTGCAAACAGGGAGCTCGAATGAGCTCGCATTGCTCCAGTATGCCTCCAGTCAGAGAGCTGCTCCAACAGTCCCATGCTTTCGCAGTACAACACAAACCCTTGTCCCAGCTCCGACTGCTGTTAACTTCTCCTGCAGTGATGTTCTAGAGGCATTTTATTGACTCATAACTTATTTTCCATCTTGCTCAGACTTTGCAGGCAAACCATTAATGAGAGCATTCCTCGTACGCCCACCTTTTCTTCCTTAAGGTCATTTTAAGAACCTAGAAACTACAATCATTTACAATCATGCTGCTATATACAGAATCCCACACACATTTGTCCTGGTAACACACAAACAACCCTGCAAAAACCGCTGCCTGGGCTTCCCAGGAAAAAATACCCAGAGCACACAAAAACCAAGCATGAAAGCTGAATCCCAGACAGCTCAGCTCTTCAGGGCACTCCTCGCTGTTTCTCAAGTTACCCTGCAGAACTCCATCTACATTAACTTTTCAGATTTCAAAATCAGCTTTGCCAACAAACTACTGCTTAGCCTCTCCCTTGAGATACAATATAAGAGGACCTCGGAGCACCGATGCCTCCAAGTGTCCGCTACAAACTCAGAAAGTGCTCTGAAAACACACAGAAAACTTTTCCAGCAGACCCACAAGTCCCCATCTGCCCTGCTCTGGCATTTCACAGCCCACCCGGGGAAGGCAGACATTTGGAAAGCAGAGCTCTTGAAACACACTCAGCAAGCCCAAAGCATCCACTTTGTGAAATAAAGTGCTTAGTCCCACTCCTGCATGATTGTAAAAAAAAAAAAATGACATTCCAGGGGTTTTCTGGCTGCTTGTCTAGTGCTGTTGCACATCTGGTCCTTCACACAGCTTCCTCTCGCCACTCTCAACAGCCACAATTTTAGGGAGAAGCCCTGCAAATTGGGGGTGGCGAGGCAGAGAGGGCAGCGAGAGCCTTGGGGTCCCGAGCAGGAGCGGCCGCAAAGCTTTTGTGTGCGGATCTGCCGCTTTGATGTGCGGGGGGAAGCAGATTACTTCTGGACAAAAAGTTTCTTCTCCTCAAGGAGGAGGAACTACGCAAGACGAGAGGTTTCCAGTTGACTAAATATATATTCCCACATATATACACGCAGATATATAAAGAACTACAGCCGCCAGAAACATATCCTGACTTTTGCTCCAGAAAAACGAGTCCAGCAACAGGCAGCTCTGCTCGAAAAGGCGAATAAAGTATTGTTTTAAGTTTTTTCCCCCTTTTACGGGCCTCCTGACAAATGGCATTCGGAGACTCGGGCAGCTAAAGGAGGTTGGGTGGGTCCGCCCGCCCCCCTCCCGCTGTCCCGGGCAGGGAGGGGGGGGCTCGGGGGGTCCCTTACCTGCCCGGCCGAGGGACAGGGCACCCAGCAGCACCAGGGCAGCGGGTACCAACCAGCTCCGTATCCAACTGCGCCTTTTCCACCGCGTGTGCGTATCCATGGTCCACAAAAAATGAGGCACCAGCTCGGGACAACTCGAGGGGAAGGAGTTGGGGAAAAAAATATATATATACAAGCGAAGAAAAGTTGCTCAGACCCCCCCGCCAGCCCCCCCCAGGGAGCAGCCGCTTTATAAAGCCATGGGGCGGGCGGAGGGCTGTCGGGGGCTCCGCCGCGCTCACTCCCGGCCCCTGCCTGCTCCTGCAGCGAAAAAACTTTTCTTTCTTTTCCCCCCACCCCCCTTTTTTTTCCTTCTTTTAAACCCAAGGCAAGAGTTTGTCAATCTCGGAGCCGCGCAGCAAATCA